CCGCCGCCGCTCCGACAGCTTCGCCCCCTGTCTCCCCAGGGTTCTGAAGAACTTTCGCCAGGACCTGAGCCTGTCGCAGGAGGCCCTGAACGTCATGGATTCGTTCGTGGAGGACATCTTCGAGCGCATCGCCGAAGAGGCCTCGCGCCTGGCCCTCTCCAGCCAGCGCGCCGCCATGACCTCCAGAGACATCCAGACGGCCGCGCGCCTACTCCTGCCCGGGGAGATGGGCAAGCCCGCCGTGTCCGAGGTCACCAAGGCCGCGCGTGAGCTTCCTGGGCACCACCTGAGCATCGCAACCCAAAGGCTCTTCTCGGAGCCGCCTCGCTTGTCACGAAAAGACCTGTGGCTCTAAAAGTGGGATCTACGCTCGTGTTTGTTCCCGTGGCTTTCTGCCGACGACTAAAGCCCTGTTACCGTGGACAAAACATCATCAACTCTACTTTAATCGAGAGAGAGTGTAGTTTATTCCATGGCAAATCGTGGGTTTTCCTTAACCACGTTGCTTTTCGTGGCTTTCCTAAACGGTCATTCCTGTCGGTTTTTTCTCTAGGTCAGCCTTTTGGGGGATATTTTGCTGATAGTTCTCCGACGAATTTCGAGTTTGCGTTAACATGAAGCAATGGGGTTTGTATTGTTTTCAAATAAATGTATCGAAATTTCTATTCTAATAATTGCTACAGTAACGATTGGCACATATATAGCCCGCGTAAAAGTGTTTTGGGTTCCTACTGCTTTTTAGAAATGTAAAGTTGTCCTGAGACCAAAACCGGTTCTAGATATTGACTCATTTTTGGTGCAAGTTCTGCATTCCAGGGGTTCCTCTACCCCTGTTCCTTGACCACTCCAATCCCAGCAAGCTGGATTGTACTTGGAATCCCCTCAAAATCACGTTCCTAGTTTATTTATACCTTATTCCTTCCTCAAGAAGTGGCTACACCTCCCAGAAGGTCAGGCCCCACCCTCACGCAGGGGAGCTGCAGATCATTGTCCAGCATGTGTCAGGGTTGCAAAAGGACCTGATGTGTGAGGCTTAGCTGCCTCTGTGTAGGTCACCCTTGACCATATAATTTCTTGTCCAATTAATGCAGACACTTTTGAGGGTACAGGGGGCGCTCTGAATAATTGTGTTGGGACAACCTTCTAGGGAAAAGATCTGGGGATAGAATGAGCGCATCTCTTGGGGCTTGGGGATTTGCAGAACACAAAGGTTAGTGTGACCAGGAGAGTGCATCAGCTTTTTCATGATTTGCTCCCTTCGAAGTTCTGCTGCCTTTGTTTTCTGGAGACAAATAACGTTACTGGGCTGCATGAACAGGGAAGAGAGACACAAGATGGTGAGAGTGTCTGTGTGGGTCCTATGACTGCTGAGAGCTAGTGGGACTGGGCTCTACAGCAAGAGTGATTTAGGGCACAGGTTTGGGAGTCGGATCAGACCTGGACTCAAACCTCAGCTGTGCCTCTTACTAGCTGTAATGTTTTGGGTCAGTGACTTGGCCCCTCTGAACCTCAGTTTCCTCCTCTGTAGAATAGGGTCCACGAGGTGGTTGTGAGGATTCGGTGAGATAGTGAGCTGGAGTGCCCAATGAATGGTGACTATGCTTGTTCTCAGTCCCGAGAGTCGTGCCCTCAGGCAATTGGAGGGGCGTAAGTGAGATTTGGTGCCAGACGGCTATATGGACATGCTCTCCTGCCTACCTTGGCCACATCTGTTTGCTTAGGGCTGACAGTGAGATAAGGGAGGATGACTCTTCCCCCCTGAGCCTCACGTTAGTGAGACTGCAGAGATAATGCTGGTTTGAGTTTGTGATGGGGAGTTGCTAGGGAGCAACTGGAAAATGCCGCGTGTTACCTCTGGCTTTGGGCGTTGCCGACTCAGGGCTTTGTTGGCAAGCTCTTCCTCCTCACTCCCATGAAACTTTGCCCCATCGCCCTCACCTTACCCGAATCCTATTCACCTTTCCAGGCTTGGCTCGAATCCTAGGTTCTCTGTGAAGATGACCCAACCATCCCAGCCTACGGTGACTTCCCCCTCCTTGAGCCTCAGACCTTCAACTGTAAAATGGGCATACTATTTATAACGCCCCGGCGGGAAGGGCTGTGATTAGGACTGAATGAAAGAATAGCTGTAGCATGCCAGGTGCAGAGCCTGGTGCAGGCACATGGTGAGTTCTCTGCCTCTTTCTCTTCCTACTCTCTGAACCCCCACGATGCCTGCATCGTGCTCTTGATCAGATGCAGCCTTCTCTTGGTAGTCATTCGGGAGTATGCGTGTGCTAACTCTCCATTCAGATGTAATGTCACAGAGGTTGGGGGCCACGTCTTACCCGTCCTCGCCTTCCAGTGTCCAGCGCCACACAAATAGCCACGGTAACCGTTTCTTACCAAGCACTTTACGATTCGATGTGGCAGGCACTCTGCTGTGTATGTTATACACGTGTGTCTAGTCTTTACCCTTTGCCCCTGTATGTTCCTTCCAGGACAGGCAGACATAATTCTCCCTGTCGAGCAGAGTGAGGCTCAGAGAGGGTGGGTTAACTACTGCCCAAGCTCACATAACTAGTAAGTGGCCTAGCCAGGAATCAAATTCAGGCTTGACTCCCGTGCTCGATTAAGTTTCCATTGAATGCCTGTGAATCGGTGGGAGGGAGGATGGCCAGGAGTAGAGACCAGAATGGGAGTGCCTACACACTCACTTGTACTTAGTAGGGGGAGGCCTGCTTGAGAAATACCTATAGGTGACAAAGACATAGGATTCAGTGGGTCCCCAAGCCTGGGTAAGGGGATACGGTCCCTCCTGGACAGGAAGAAAAGAGTCGGCGGGGGTTATGGGTCAAGCGAAACCTCAGGGCCATTGTCCTGGGGAATTCCATGGTGGCTCCAAGATCCTAAAAGTTAGCAGTGGAGGACCTACCCACTGGCCGTTCTCAAGGTGAATTCTAGAATAAGCACTGGTCAAGGGCGGCTCCTCTGAAGTGGATTATTAACCTAGAAACTCTTGAATTCCCTCGGAGTCCAGGCTGTGCATTACGCTCCAATCGTTCCTTGGGAAAAACCAGGACAGAATATCAAGCATGGGATCTGTGGTTAGATGTGGAGATAAGCTCTGCTGTGCTCTTGCCTCAGGGGCAATGATGGGAAGAGCAGAGGGCATTTGCCATCTAATTTAGCAGACCCCAAAGCTCATACGGCTTGAGAATGACCTGGGAACCCACGGCTATGACCTCGCGGAACAGGCTAGAGGGCTTGGTAATCCTAGGCCTGTGCACTGCAGGGTCGTGGGACTGTGATCAGGGAGGCCTCGCCTGGGTCCAGTAGAGCTAGGCCTCCTCCAGGAGAGTGCACCAGGGGTCCATGTGCTGTCTCTTCAGTCCTTCCAGATTTTCCAAAGGCCTCACTCAGACCAGGGTGAAAAAAGAGCCATTTTTCCACCTGTACCCCTGGCCTGGTTCCCAGGGATTAAGTTCGGGAAGCCTCAGCGAAGGAGCCGGGGGCATCCAGGCTCAGCCCCTGCCTCGACTGGCCCGCCAGGGCAGCACCCAACTCCACTCCCAGCTTCTACTCACGGGACCCCTCCCCGAGCCCCGTTCTCGGAGGGGCATGGTACAAGGAGCACGAAGCTGGGCCCGGGTGTCAGGGGCAGCTGAGGTCTAATCCCCGCTCACCCGCTTCCTGAACTCTGTCAGGCATGGCGATGGACTCACCTTTCTAGTCCACAGGTTTATTCTCTGTCCATCGGTGATATAAACAGGACCTACCTCACAGGCTTGTAGAGACCCATTAAGGGGGTATTCATGTGTCCCCTCCCAACTTCTCAGAAGGGGGAGAAATCAACTGTCAGAAAGACAGTGAAACTGTCGAATATGCGTGACATCATCTACATAAACTGTACAACATACTCGGAGTATCATCTTACGTTGTTCTGTGTGACAGGATCAAAATTGGTACTGTTCGTTATGATAGAAAAAGACAAACCTCGAATCGCCACTTTCGAGAAATTGTCACTTCTCCGACCACAATTATTTTAGCCACGCTTTCCTCAAGAAGGGTCAGGAAATCTCACATCAGAGTTTACAGCGCAGCCCGCATTCATCCATTTATTGAAACATTCACTGAGCGCCTACTACGTCCGGTCTGCTGGGTGCTGGGAATCACAGATGAATAAGCTGAGAGCCCGTAGACTGGCTAGAGTCCAGAGCGGGGAGGCGGATGCTTTTGTCAGATATTTATAAGACATGAAACGTTGTGAAAGAGAAGTGCCCTGGTTATTGTGGGAGCCCGGAGGAGGGCCAGCCAACCCAGCCGGGGGCGGGGGAGGGGGGGCTAGTCAGGAAACTCCTTCTGGGAGAGGCCAGGTCTAAGTTATGTGGGTTCTGTAGCTGCCTTCCACATTCTATTTCATATTTTATTTGTCGTTTGTTTCGGGTCCTGTTTGCAGAAGGAGCAGGAGGAAGGAGGTAAGAAAGACATCCTAAGTGATGGCGACAGCAGGAGCCGATTCAGCCACAAAGCAGCTTGAAGACTGGGCCACTAGGGTGACCAACTGTCCCGGCTTGCCGGGTGCCGAAGGGTTTCCCGGGTGCAGGGCTTTCAGCTTTAATACCAGGACAGTCCCGGGTTGCCTGCGACTGAGGGGCTCCCACGATGCGGGGCTGTCAGTGCCAAGATGGAAAAGACCTAGGCAGACCAAGAGGCGGCGGTGGCCCTGTGGGGGAACTGCAAGGAGTTCAGCCTCTTTGGACCTCACAATGCAAGGCAGGAAGTGGTGGCAGATGAGATTGGGGAGAAAAGCAGGGGCCAGATCATGAAGGACCTTGCCATATATAAGAAACTTGTACCTTGTCCTCTAGGCAGTGGGGAGCCTTGAAGCCTTTTCAGCAGGGAAGTGACAGCCTGTCAGGTTTGCTTTTTACTTAGATCACTCAGGAAGTAGTACAGAGGCTCGATTTGCGAGGGCCGAGGCCGAAGGCAGGAGGTGGCTGCTTTAATTCAGGTAATGATGATGCAGGCCTGGTAAGAGGCAGTAGGGATAGAGTGGAGGGGAGAGATTCAGGGACCACTTGGGGGATAAAATTGGTAGCAAGACTGACCGAACGAGGGCAGTGAGGGACAGCAGAGTTGACAGTGATCACCCCAATTTAGAAAAAAACTTTGCACAACCTTTTGGTTAAATGAAATCATAGGAAGAAAAATATAACCGAACACCCATCTACGACCACAAGCTCCAGGAATAAAATGAATGACAGATACCCTTGAATGCCCATCGACCCCTCCCTTACACCCATCCCCGCTTCCCTCCTTCCTTCCTTTCCTATGCGAAATTGATGTTCCTCATTTCCATGAACTTCTTTACGCTTCTGCTACATAGATATGAAGTGCAAAGCAACATATACTGATAGCATTGTTCTGCATCTTTTTATACCTTATATAAATTATATCGTGAGGTAAGTATTCTTCTGTATCATGCCGTTTCACTATTGCGTGCAAGATACAGTCATAGTGACATCGGTAGCTCCGGTTCACTTATTTTCCCGGTGAATGGCTTTCAGTTGTATGACTGTATCATCCACTTTACTGTTCATCCACTTTACTGTTGATGACCATTTACGTTTTATCTGAAATTTTTGTTAATAAGTACAATGCCGCTAAGAGCATCCTGGATTAGGTGCCCAGGAGCGGAATCGTTGCAGTCAGCAGCGGGTGCTTCTCCTGCACGTTAATCGATATGCCGGATTGCTCTCAAAAGGCCTCAGACCACCTTCCACACCTACTAGCAGTGGATGCAAACTCCCCATGGCTCTATCTCCTCACCAACACGTGGGGCGGTCAGTCTTTTTCACCCTCGCGGCTCTGATGGTGTGAAACAGTATCTCACCGCGGTGTGGGTGGGCACTTCTCGGACTGCTCGTGAGCTGGTGCCTCGTCTTGAGTATTTTACTTTTTTTCCATTTGTGTTCCCTCTTCTGTGAAATGCCTGGTCAAGGCTTCCTAATTTTAGGAAGCACTCGAGGCCATAAAATCCCCTCTAAGTGGCACTTAGCCATCACCATTCTGGGAACTGTTTTATGCAGCCACTCTCTGTTTTTATGTACGACTGTTTCCATTGCTCTGCGATAATTCTGGGCAACTGTGGCTTTCCTTCGTTCTGAACAAATTACCAGCCATTTCCTCTTTGAACATTATTCTTCCTCAGTTTGCCCAATATCTCCTTCACAAACCCCTATGGGGTGTGGTTTATACGTTTTTGGTCCATGTCCTATGTCTCTTCACCTTTCCTTTCTCTTTATCTCGCTAGGAGGCATCCCCCCCCCCAGCCCAATTTCTCCCAATACACTAATTCCCTATCCAGGCGCCTTAATCGGTTATTTAAAATTACATTAACTTTTTGGTCCAGTGGTTCCGTTTTATGCTTTCAGAAATTGTATTTGATTCTTTGTGATATTTCTTGTTTCTTCCTTATTATGGTTTATATCCTCCCATTTACTTAACATGTCAACACTTTTTGAATTGTTTGCACCCGGGGATAAGTCTTTGGAGGAGGATACCTTTGGTTTTCTTGAATTATGAGCAAGTGTGGAAGGGCTTTATCGGTGGGGACCTTCTCTAAGGCTCAGTTAAGGGTGGGCTCCTCCACAGAGGATTTGACTAGCATTTGCCCCACGTCTGGGTTTTCGCCAGAATTCCTTGAGCCATGCCGATAGTCTTCATTGGGATGCCACAGCCACGTGAAGGCAGAATTGCGCTTTGAAACTATCAAAGGAGCCTTTCCCCCCCACCCCCGCCCCATCCAGACACAAGGCCAAGATATACCAAGTTGCCTTGTCATCTCCCTTTCCCCATAGCAAAAAGGCCAGCTTTTCACTAAGGGTGTTGTCTTTCAAGGGCCTGGGCTTGAGGCAAACGTCTCAGTTGTCTATTAATTTCTAGCTCTCTTCCAGCTCCTCCAAGCATTTCAAATAATGTTTGCGGTCATTTTTTCAAGTATTTCTACTTGTTTGGAATGGGAAGTATTGTTTTGTTTTTGCTGACCTATTAGTGTGCCAATAGCGTGCAAATAAGAAGTGTAAGTGGCCCTTAATATTAAAGAAAGAGGGGGTGCACCCGATCAGGGTCACTCCTAGGCTACTCTGAAAGTTTCGAGTCAAGTCGCATGCACATACCTGTTGCCTTGGAGGAGCTGGTTGGAGGGCTGGGCTCAGCTGGGCCCCGGTCTCTCCCCATAGAGTCTCAAAGCCTGTCCATGTGGTGTCTCCAGCAGGATAGGCCCACTTCCTACATGGCGGCTCAGAGGTCTCAAGAAACGAGGCAGAAGGCACCTGTCGTTTTAAAGATTAGCTCTGTAATCGGCATACATAACGTCACTTCCACCACGTTCCATTGGTCAAAGCAGTCACGTGCTCGCCCAGAGTCCAGAGCAGGGGAAAACAGACAGGACCCTTCAAAAAAAAAAAAGAGTGTCAAGGCACGAGGGCCATCCTGAACCTGACATGTAGTGCCACGCAACACACACTCGTCGATATGCTGCTGGGTGCCACACACTGGGTATGTCCATACAACGACGTTGTACTCGATAATTTCGGAAACCGGGGAATTGCAAAAGTGACTTGATTTTGGAAATTTCACTAGTCTGTTTCTCTACTGCGTATCATTCCTCCTTTACATACTTAAACGGAGGCTTCACGCGCGGTATGATGGCAAAGTTTAATAGGGGTGCATTGGTGGATATAGCTGCTTCTTAACCTTATTGCATATCACGCAAAAAGTATTTCTGAAAAGTTCCATAATACAGTCGTGGAACGACGTGAACACAAGTGGTAAATGAAATTAATAGGAAAATTACAGGTTGCTGGAAAGGTAGACGTAGAAAAATAACAAGCAGAGATAGTCATTTAGAAAGTGGAGGACATGCAACATAGTTAAGGAAAATCCACGATTTCCCATGGAGTCAATTATATGTATGAGTTGACGATGCAAATGAGTAAATATCTAGAACAGTTTCGTCTCGGGAAACCTCACGCCATTAAAAATAAATAGGAACCCAAAGAGCTGTTGTGTCAGTAACACCTGCCAATACACTCACTGTACAAAATAATACAACAGAAATTTTAATACATTTACTTTAAAATTCATTTTAAAATCACACTAAAAAACACCCATTATATCATGTTAATGCAATTTACAGACTCGTACGATAAATATGTCCTTCTAAAAATGCAGAGGAGATTGACGTTGTTTCGGATATTTGAAAGTCTCCTTACTATCCGGCCTGACAGAAGACAGATGGATTCTTGTATCTGCTTCTGCACTTCATCCGTTGTCATATCAGACATAACGAACTTCTGGAAAATTCCACCATATACTCGTGAGGGAATGAGTGAAACAGGTAAATGACATGATCGGCAAAATACCCGCCAAAAGACTGACCTAGAGAAAAACCCTAACGGGAATGACCGTTTGGGAAAGCCATGACATGCAACGTGGTTAAGGAAAATCCATGATTTTCCATGGAACAAACTACACTCTCTGTACGTTAAAGTGGAGTTGACGATGTTTGGTCCATGGTAACAGTGCTCTAAACGTCGGCAGAAAGCCACAGGATCAAACACGAGAGCCACAGTTCTTTTCGTGACGAGTGGGGCGGCTCTGAAAAGAGCCTTTGGGTTGCGATGCTCAGGTGGTGTCCAGGTAGCTCAGCTGCAGCAAACGTACCGGAGGATGGCCTTGGTGCCCTCGGACACGGCGTGCTTGCCCAACTCCCCGAGCAGGAGCAGGCGCACGGCCGTCTGGATGTCTCTGGAGGTCATGGTGGCGCGCCGGGTTTTGCGGGCCAGGCGCGAGGCCTCTTCGGCGATGCGCTGGAACATGTCTTTCACGAATGAATCCATGACTCTCAGGGCCTTCTGAGACAGGCTCAGGTCCTGGTGAAAAATCTTCAGAACCCTGGGGAAATAGGTGACGAAACTGTCGGAGCGGCGGCGGTGGCGGCGGCGGCGCCTCCTCGGCTGCTTCTGCTCCAGGATCTTCGGGGGGACTTCCGTGGGCTCCTTTATGTGCAGGAATTCCTCTAGCGAAGCCCCAGAGCCAAGATCCGCCATGTCAGAGGCCGCTTCCTCCAGCTTGTGAGGAAAGACAGGGGCCGCTGCTGCGAGGCGGCGGCTGACTTATATAGTCGCTGCATTCCCTGACGTCATGGGCAGTCTCCACATCTGATTGGCTAAAATGCAATCCAGGGCGCCTGTCACTAAGTCACGCCATGTCGCACGTGACTGGATAGGCTCCTGCTTGGCATCACATGTCCTCCAATCAGAGTGGGAGCCCCTTGACCTTTAAACAGGACCTCGGTCAGTGACTCTGAGACATGCTCCACAGGGCGAAAGGTCATCCGACAACGTTAGCCCGGCTGATGCCCCAACCGGGGAACTTAGAACTAAGATTTCACCAAAAGCACCTGAATTGTAGAAACTTCCGTTTTGGCTCCTTAAGTCTGACCTTCATAACCCAGTTCCTGACTGCTATCAGAATGACTCTGGCCACTTTGGGCCCTTTCCCGCTAACCCAGAATCTACTATCGTCCTGGGGTAAACCACCCTGACTCAAGGCAGGGACCCATCTGACATGGCCAGCAGTGGTTGTGGAAATCCGGGGACACAATTGGCCAACTCTTCCCTCTGGATTTGATCAAAATGCTCAGCGAGTCTCAAAAAAAAGGGGGGTGGG